ATATGACGCTATCTATATAAACCGCTCCACGCGGTTTATATAAAATGTTAAAATAAAATGTTAATAAATGTTATTATAATGTTATGACTTTAGAAATTTCTTATTCGACGATATTCACCTCGCCTTCGGCGAATAATTGTTAAATATTTATATGTATAAACAGACACAGAAATTTGTAGCTATCTTTGAATGAAGGACCGAAAAACTGTTTTATATCATTTACTCGCACGATCATCGCATGAAGACAAAGTTTCTTTTTTGTTGTTGTTTTTTTCAGGTTTAGGGCAGTGGGATGTTTCCGGTGAAAACTATGCAGAGCAGTAAGTGTCAATTTAATTCAAATGTTTTACTTTGTTGGTAGTCATTACATGAGTCGTGCCAGTTTTTCGGAATTGTTCGAAGGCACACAACAATCGTTAAGAGTACAAAACTGCATCGTGATATGTAGATATGATGTAAGGATACCCAAACACAGATGAGGAACCAGAAAAGTAATGATCCCCACAACCTAGATTTATTTTGGCTTCGAATTCAAAGGGATTTGAACCCATGCTCCGCAAATATTAATCAGACGCCGCCATTGAATGAGCAACTTCTTGAAAGCGGGGGCTAATTTTTGTTACTAGCTTTTGGATCAAGCGATATGATTTATTTCATTTTTATTTGATTTATTTCATAACTAAAACTGTGAACATCGAAGAATTAGGGGGTAAAAAAGAATAAGGAGAGCCAGTAATGGAGATGATAACATTGTACTGCAGAAAAAATATTTCAAAATGATGACAGAATGTAAACTACGAACTAAGTGTGACGGAGAGACATATTTGAAGGAAATAAGTGCAATCAAGAGAATACAAACTGTTTTATTACCTCTTGGTACAAGTGAATTAACTTCTGTCTCCATTTTCAGGGACCTTTTAAATCATTTATTCAACGATGTTTTTGTCCTGTGGGAACCAAAAACTAAACGCGTTGAAGCTCGTGGACAGTATGCTGATAGCTTTGATGACTTGAAGTTAAAAGCATTTCCAACGCTACGGGACCGTGCACCACTCAACAATAAAACACTCAGGGAAACTGCTTTTTTAATCTCTAATAATGAGAGGAATTTCACTCAGTTCTCAACCGCAGAGACTTTCCTTTCTTACGAACTGTCCCCAGAGGGAGCCAAGCTTATGTCAGAAAATTTTGGCTTCAAGGGTGACTACATGCAAGCCATAAATCCAAGGAGTTATAGAATTCATCTTGGGAAAGAATACCATGTTAACGATGGCAGTGCTTTAGCAGATACGAGAAGGCCTCCTAATTCCAAAGGAATGTCTGAAATCGTCACAGAGCTCACTAAGAAAGTGGAAAGTGGAGGCGGTAAAATTTATCGTAAAGAGACAATTGCTTCGATCAACAAAGAAGGAGATAAATTTCTTCTTCAAACTACCAAATCAACTGTGGAAGCCAACAAGACAGTTATCACCGTGGGACCAGCTGCTCTGAAGAAGATCAGCGGTGACGTCATTCGAAATATTACAGATCATCAGATATTTAAATCAATTGTTGGTGTGCCTGCATTCTATGGGGCAGCGGTATATGACAAAGCATGGTGGAATGATACAACTGCCACTCAAAAGAACAATAACCTCCAGCCTTTGGACAAGTTCATATCCAGCAGTAACTGCCTGGGAATTACCATGCCTTATAAGTTAGTACTCCTAAATCGTTACAACCTTCCTTAAAATTCGAAAGTAATACGTCGACCAATTCTACATCCCCACAGTGGATCCTCGAAGTATTTGAACTTTTCGAGAATGGTTTGTTAAATATCCGGCCCCCAGGGCCAAATTGCGTTCAAATGCCCCACTCGAGTAGAATTTTTTATTGAACGATTCTTTACGTCATCAATGAAAGTTGCAGAATTTAACAGTCTCGTACTTAGTTTGAGGTGCCTCACTTGAGAGACTTTTTCTAAGCCATTTGCTTACGGAAGCGGACTCTTTACCTTACATTCCTCCATATTTAAAATAAAAACGCGTATTACACGGGTTCAAATTCCACACCCTACCAAGACAAGGTTCAAATGCTCCGGGGCTCGAACTACAGTTAAATTTCCGTTGGTTGCCCCGGGGGAAGTCAAAACATCGAATTGGTCGTTGTATGATATCCCTCTGCGTAGAAAGCTGACCAATACAATGTTCTCCTGTACATCTTATGAACAAGGAATTTTAGGTCCTTTTATGTAACGGCATTATGATCTCATTTTGAAGACGTCCTAAACAACCAAATTCATGTCCTTAAAAAATAGGGACTGAAAATTGATATTTCTGATCTAGACTATGATGAAGCAACATCTTGCATAATTAATGAACTATTAGTGTGGCTTATTCCTTATTTTTATCATTTTCATTATAGAGGTGTTGGAAACAGCGGAAGAGTTGTGCTGCATACGATAGCTAATAACGGTGGATGCAGCGATAAGTGGGGGAAACTTTTGGAGATTTCTAAATCTAATAATGTCATTGACAAAGAACTGAAGCGTGCTCTGAAGGACAAGTTTCAACGAAATGATATTCCAAATCCTGTGGAGACTATCTACAAATATTGGAAGGAAGGGTTTTGGTAAGTGCAGTGGTAGAAATAAAACAGTATAGCAATCATTTACGTCAAGTATTCTTAAGACAATTTTCAGTTTGATTCGCAAGTGGTATTCGCTTTTTCTCGTCAACAGCAACGAAATGCATCATTTCTGCTGAAAACTCATGCTTGCAAAGAATTGTGAGATCATATCTTCCCCTTCCGTATGGGCTTTCTTAGTGATATCTGCTGGACGCAGTGAATGCTTTCGCCTAAAGACGTTTCGTTCGCTCGTTCGTTCATCGGATATTTGCTGAAGAGCTCTTGGGAGGGAGAGAGGTCGTATGCCAACAAGCGAGTGTCAACTTGGCTCACTTTTCACAGGTTCATTTCTGCGCCATTTTCCCTTTTTTTTTTTTTTTTAAGAGCAGTTAGGATTGATACATTTTCATTATTCGTTGACGTAGGTATTTTCAGAAGCCTGGGGCCAACTTTAATACAACGACCATTCGGCAATGGGCGAGAAGACCGCTGACCGGACATGATGTGTTCTTGGTAAACAGAGCATATTACGATTTTGGTGGATACCTGGAATACACAATACGATCTGCTTTTGAAGCCGTTCAAGAGGGTTGGAATTCTGAGCTTCCGATTCAGATATAATGATCCGTAAAAGTGCGTGCGGAATTGAAGCACTTTCTTGTTGATATTGATGGTATGAGAGGAAAATTATGGTTTTGATTCCTAGATGGGAAAGTGTTAATGGTTTGTGTGTCTAAAGTTGTAACTGTTAAAATTGCGCTAGTTTTTCTCCAGGACCGTTAAATTCAAGACATTACGACACCAAGTAAGTAAAAAAGGAAAAGGTGAATTAATTAAGTACCATAATCAGAGAATATTACGTCAATAGGTTTGCTTAAAAATATCCAATGTTTTCCCAAAACATACTTTGTTATTCAAATAATTAAAGAATTGGTTCCTGCGAGTTATGGATGCACGCCGAAAGTTTGAAGACAAGGAGAAAAGCATAAGAATTGCTCAAGGCAAACTATGAATAAATGACAAGGCAAAAACGACCAAGAAATATTTCGAGACCAAAACTTTATAAAAATTGAAATTTTTCTGCCTAGAAGCGAAAAACGAACGAATTTCTTGTATGTACGAGACTGCCTAGTAGAATTAGCATGCTCGAATCGTTTTTTTCTTTTTTTTAATGTAATTTACGGACAGAAAATTGTGTCGGTTTTCGTTGAAAATTTTGAATATTCTGAAATTGTACGGATTTCTAAATTAAAAATCTTTTTTTGAAAAATACTTTTAAGATACGTCAACACTTAAAAATAATATCAACCGTTCGAAAACGAGGCGAAAAACTTACAAATTTCTTACATTTGGTTTTGTTTTCTCATGATTTACATCGCGTTTGAGAATGGAGTATCGTCAACTCCAAAACTACCAGAGCTAAACGTTCACTGTTTTCCAAAAAAGAGTATAATTAAGCATATTTTCTTTTCATTATGGGCTCCTGAAAAGGTCTCTTTCACTAGGGATGGAACGGGAAAAAATATTGAAAGTTTTGAAAGCTTGTGGCTAAAGTTCACCGACAATGACGTCAGCCTAAATCATCTCTAAGAACCATCTATTTCTTTTCCATAAAATATTAGCCAATCAGAGTGCGCGCTATCATATAGTTATGTTAGAGATACAGATAGCTTCAAATAAGCATTGTAAATATTGATAACTGCTTAATTCTTCTAGATGTCAACTATATTAGCCTTGTTTTTTAATGTCAATAATTATAGTAATATTATTTTTTCTCGAATACTGTGTCCAGTGTTTGCATGAAGGACTATTAGTGTGACCTCCATGCATTTATAAAAGAGATGTAAAACTATGTCGTTCGTTAGAGAAATAATAGAAACGTTTTGGAGGATAACTAATAGTTAATAAAGTATTCTTATCCGTTAGTTTGTGTGTTTGCTCTCGTTTTGAAGGCGGTCTCTGAAGCGTTCAAGCTCAGTTTTGTTCGCGTCAGGGTCGCCATGTTGGGGGAAAGTTTTCCTTTGATCAAGGTGTCTACAAACCGAAGACCGAACACCAAAAACCGAAGACCCACGTAAACTAGACTGGACGGCTGACTAATGACACCGACCTTATTGAAACGTTTTTGTTTACTTATGTTTTGTGGATGTTACTAAAACTGGTAACGGGGAACGGCGAACAGATGTT